TATAATTTATATATTAACATGTGGAGTTAGCCTGCATTCATATCGATGTGTTTTTTTAATGCTGACCTTGTCCCCTGAGAAAGTTTAAAAATATTGATGACCACTCCTGTATCTTTATCTAAAGCCCTCCTTAAATTATATTTAAAAAAAAACCCCAAACAACCTAAAAATCCTGCATGCTAACAATGATTAGTCAAGTAATGAGCTGTCATATTCCAGATTTCTTTGCCTTTATTTATTCCCTGGGTCTTGCTTCTCACCTGTTTCCTATTTTATCTAAGAGAAATGACAGAAACAGCATCTGATTAATAAAGTCTGTCACGTTACCATTGTGTTAATTGACTTCTAAGATAAATTGTGGCCCTTCCTCTGGGGCTTTGAGGGGCTTGGTCCTTGCAGTAGGATGGTCCCTTCCCTTGTAGGGATTCTCTTTTGGGAGTTCCTGGGGCTGTCATGGAGGTCAGAAAGCCCTCAGTGCAGGTGAAATAGGCACTGAAGTACCTCACGGTGAAGGATTTTAAAACTCTCCACAGCGCTGTCAGCTTTGTATTAAAAAAGCAGCAGTATGTTGTTCTTAACTAAAACACTGAATTTAAATTGAGCGTGCACCAGGTGTGTAAACAACTTTGGGTGCTATGCTTTCACTGACTGGCATAAAATTGAGTATCTTTATTCCTGAATTGCTTCTGAAACTGGAATTTACTTGGTTTTTTGGTTTTGTTTGTTTTAAAAAGAGCCCTGAAGCTTACTTTAGTCGCTGCAGGTCCAGGCACGTGGTCGCCCAGCCCAGCACCCTGGATGGGAAGATGAGTCAAAACCGTCTATGCTTGACCATACATTCACTTCATGGCATCAACTTGCAAAGTCAAGCACGATGAGAAGGCATAATCCCCTTTTACTTTCTGTCATGCCCATAGGACCAGCTTGCAAAGCCATAAGCTTTGGAGGATGCCTAAGTTATAAAGCCACCAGAAACAACAGTGATGATCGAATTGCTATTTTCACCAATAGCAGTAGAAATGAAAAGCTAAACTGAGGTGCAGCTCTCTTAAGATCCCTTCTTTGTATTTCAGAGTTGTCAGTGTTAAATTTTGTGTTTGGTTGTCTCATTTTCTGGGTTAAACAACACGTTATCCCTTTGGTGGTGGCTGCTGCTTCTGCAGAGCTGAGGCACCTCAGAGAGACACAGCAATAACCGATCCTGGCACATATTTTAACTAATCTTCATAGATGTAACTTGTGTTTGATCAGAGACCACTGAAACAGTAAAAAAAAAAAAAGAAATCCCTTTGGTGTTGGTGGGGGTTTTTTGGTGGGTGTTATTGTGATTTGTAGTACAAGTGGTACTCGAGTTCTTTGAGTAAATACTCTTAGTGATGGTGCACGCTGGTATCTTACTGTAAGTCGTTCAGTAGTGGTGACTACAGGATTAGCACCATTCTTTTGTTGACTTGCTGGCTCAATTAATCTATGATGGGAAGTTTATGAAGCTTAAGCTGTGAGTACTGGAACTGGGAGGAATTCACCTTCTCCAGCCTCAACCACCATGGTGGACGTCTGGACCCTGCAAACAAATGCAGCTTAACAGGGCTCCTGTCATCCACCACCCTGTTTTTGTTTATCCCATGGCCATGTCACCCTCATCACACCCAAGGGTCCCCCCGGGCCACTTGCCCGTTGCCTAGCAACGCCGCCATGAACTGTGGCCTAGGCCGCCATGTTAGGATCAGCACGGGGCCTGTGGCCTGCTGAGGTGAGGCAGAAGGGAAGGGGTCTCCCCTCATGGACACTCTCCAGGCTTCCCTGGGGAGCAGGCATCCATTGTGGGCTGCCTGGAAGAAGCTGCCCTCTTCCCCCCAGGGAAGCCTGTGTTTCACAACCCTCCTCATCAAAATT